AGAGCCTAGACCATAGACTCTACCCTTGTGTGTCCCCCCTACCGCTTTTTCTTTCCAAATCTGAATGGACAGTTCAGGTGTCAATTGAACTGAACTATCTAGATTCTCAGCGACGTACTGATGAAAGTCATTCTGCACATTAAATATGAAAATTGACATCAATATATATACATATCATAAATATATTCACTATTAATATATATTATTCATATTAAATAACTTACAAATGTTCGTTCGGCCCTTTCCTCCTCCCACATATTCGGATCTGACTCATTTTCTTTCTTCCTGACATGAGTCTTACTTGAAAACCTCTGGTTCAATGGGAGTTGACGTCCCAAATTCTTTTTTTCTATAAATAAAACTAAAATTTATAACGATATATATGTATCAACTAATTATTTATTTAAAAAGTTTTGAATTAGAACTTACCATCTCTCGTGCAATTGTTCCAACCGTCTTTGCACCTCCGGTGTGCAACGAGCCACCTTTAAGACTGCCTCTAGCCATTTTGGCTTGATCTGATATTGCCTTAAACTTGTTTGTGTTTCAATACTGACCCAATTCATCAAAAACACGAGGCAACATCCAACCGGGACGTTCACCACTATCCCGAACGTTCTTTAGCCAGCTAGATAGTCTAGCGGATGCCTTCCTCTCAAATGTGGTCCCAATGACCAAATTGTACCTCGACTCCCAAGTACACATAGTCTGAAAAAAAATTGAATAACGTTAATTAAATCGATAGTAAAAAAAGTAAAGTATACTAAACTTAACTAAAAATATATACCTTAAAGTTATTAAACATCGTCTGGCGTATACTGTTTGGAATCTCGCTCCAAGAGTGATAAGCTTGTGTATAGAGTCTTCTAACACAATCTTTTAAAGCCCGAGCAGCATCCTTTGCAGGATGCCACCTGCAAAACACATAATAAATATGTTAGTTCATGAATAATATATTAAAGTATAAGAAATAAATAAAATAAACTAACAAATAGATAACAAAACAAACTTACGATGATCCATCCGGCTCAATCATGACTCTATTAAGTCTGTCCTTCTGACCAGGAGCTAGAGCAGACATCGTATCATGTGGTGTAGCACTAGGTGTAGTTGTAGAGGAGGGTGATACATCAGGATGCACAAAACGTTGAGTCAATGGAGGCGTACCGACCATAGCATCTGACTGCTCGCTACTAGAATCTTCAAGCCTCATGGCAGATAACTGAGGAGATGTACCTGTGGGAGATGGAGTACCTGTGGGAGATGGAGTACTTGCCGATAAGGGTCGTGCTCGATGAATACCCTATAAAGGTAGGTCCTCGTAGCGTCGTGAAGGCAATGCCTATGAATAGAGGAAACACCGGCTGGTCGATGATAATTAGGACAATATTGTCGAGGATCTGCCGTACCAAACGGAACAACAAATAAATGAGCATCACGCTTGATGCGCTCTGGCGCAGAAGAAATAGATCCTGCAATATCCTCAAGATCTAT